GAAAGAGAGGCAACAGCTGTGAAAATTTATCAGCTCGGGCTAAAGTTGTTAGAGCCTCAGACGAAGTCAGAGATCCACACAGGGAGAAATTATAAGGAAAATGTGGGATAAATTATCCATTTTATCATCTAAAATAAATATAAATCTTTGACCTTTCACCTGAGGTATATCAAATGTTTGAAAAATGTTACAGTAAATATATCTCCAAATAATTATTCTGGGTTTTTTCCTTGAAAAACATTGCTAAACTGTAGAATTTCTCCAAAATATATTATTTACTCCCTTTAAATATTTATTTAATTTTATTTGGCAAAGAATATGATTCTAATTATTTTGATGGTGGTAGAAAACCATAAAATACACTGTTATTACAGTTGTGGGTCTTTTCGCTGTGCAGGCAGCAACAACTGTCGTCATTAGCGGAGACGTTAGGCATTGAGCATGCTAAATATGGTTTCACTGAAGTTAGCCGACAACGTCGCCACAAACTAGTACAGCGGCAACAACTACTACAACAACTATCAACTATCCCAGCAGCAACCTCAGATCAAAAGCCAGACAGCAATGCAGTTAACAAACGACTTACAGAAAAGCTTATCTTGGGAAAAAATAAAAATACTCCATTGGCTGACGCGCGTTCTTATTAAAAGTCAAGTTTTCATTTTCAAGCGGCGAGCTTAGTACATTGAGAAAAAATAAGGAAAAACGTTCTTTACAAGCCCATATTTGATATTAATAAATGCCTAAACATTAAACTCTGAAATATATAGACAAATTTAAAGATTCTACAATCTTTTAAAATATCTATATTCAATGCATGATTTTACTACATTTATTTTTCAAATGAATTTATTTATTTGTAACTAATTGAAACATTTTTTGATAATTTTAATGGTTTTATAGACCAGATGTCACATTTTTTCTCTGTGCCAACAGCGTATTTCACAGAATTTCCTGATGTTGCTGACTAATGGCGCTCGTTAATAGCCGCCGTTATCAGCTGAGATCATAATAACTGACCAAACCAAACCAAACCAAGCAACCAACTTGGTTGGCAATTGAGTTGTGCGAAAGTGTGTTTACCTTCTGATTCGAAACTTGCCGCCGAACACCATTTTCATGTGGTAGACGGTATCCAGTATTGTGAAATCCAATTTGGTTGGGAAGAGCAAAAACACACGCGGAGATGTAAGACGGGATTCAGATACAGATACAGATGAAGACAATCCCAAATGACAACAAAATAAACCGAACTTTGCGTGATATCTTGCTTCCTTTTGTTTGCCAGTTATTTGTGCAAATGCTATGCAGTTTGATGGCCCAACATTTGAACCCGTCACTGAACTTCCTTATTTTGGTTTTTTTGTTTTGTTTTTGGCGATCAGGAAGGTGAGGCCGCCAAATGAAATTGATACACATGCAGCCAAGTGTCGCGAGAGTTTTACATTTTTAATTGCCGAATTTCGGAGGCAATTTCAATTTCAATTGATTTATTTTCACACACGCTTCAAATCAACTAGCGCGAACGTCCGAACGCCTTAGCGGATTTCACTCGTTTGAAGTTGTGGCTAAATCAACTACATCAGCGGCATGAGACGTAACACACAGCAACGTAACGTAACGTATCACTACTCTACACACAAATGCACAGCCGGTTTGCTTAAAAGAGAGAGAGTTTAAGAGAGGCACAGCTAGCTAAGAGAACCCACGCTCTCTTTCAAAACAGACGGCTTAAAGGTCTGTTTGCAAACATAGTTTAGTCACTAGCCATGAATTTTGCCTAATAAATTGAAAATAAAACTAAAGAACGCCATTAAATGCTGGGGTTCCTAGTTTATTATCAACATTTATTTATGAGCCATTGAATTTAGACATTTATTGAGAATTCTCCTAAGATTACTTTTCCCAACTTTAATGGTTTTTTTGGCTCTTCAAACAACATCACTCTCTTTACAAAGAGAGTCTGGAAATAAGAGTACTCCACGAGTTGGTTAACAGAAAACATAGCATAGTTTTGAGCGCAGTGCGTTTATCACGGAAATTTTTTACTCTTAGAGCACAAAAGTAGGCAACAATACTAAACTAATTTTAAAATATCAAGGAACCTTGTACAAACCATAGAAGGTATAGATATATGTATCCCTGTTCTGCGCTATCAAGATTTTTCTCGGATTAAACAAGCTTTATTATTATAGGTACTGCGAATCTGTCAGTACCAATCCCCCAAAGCCATTAAATTCAATCACCTTTTGTTGGGCCATGCCAGCCATGTTCTCATCGGCAATCTGTCGCTGCTGTTGCATCGTCACCGTCATCGGAGCAAAGTTCAATCGATCATTGTGTGTACTGTCGATATTTAGCTGGCGATAGCGGGCAGGAATTATGGCAAACACTTTGTTAAATGCAAGCCAACAAGCCAGAGAACCAGCGAGTTGGCCTGAAAGCCTGGCGACGTCGCCTAATCACGGCAACTGCATCGAAACAGTCGCGACTTGCGGCTGGATAAATTGAATTGTCTGGCTTGGCGTTTGCCATTATGTTTCGCTTGTTCCTTTTGCTGGCTGACTGTGCCGCGGCAACTCGGCGAATGAGTGATTTATAGCGCGCATACGACGCGTGGTCTGTGGTCGCAGCTCAATGCTGGCAGTTAATTTGAAAATAATACAGGCAAGACCTAGCTGGAGTGTTGCCAAATGGCCAAAGAGGGAATTAATTCGGCAAATGCCTGCACTTTGCCGAGATTTAACCCGACGGCTGTGCGAGGCGATAATTAGAGGCTGTCAAGAGAACACATGGCACACCTTTCAGGGTTTTCGACTTTTTTCGGTTATTTGGTTTTTTTTCTTGTTGTTTTCGCTAGCTGCTCTAATTGAAGTCGCTCGAAAAGTGTCTGCAGGTGAGTCGGTTCGAGAAATGCAAGCGATGACTGCCCTTTGCTCCATTTTCCGCACGCCAAACTTTCAAAATGCAAATTAGGCACGTTCGCGGTGAACGGCATTTGAACCCCGGTCCAGGCTAAAACGACAACGAAGCCTCTGACAAGCCCATTTACAAGTTGCCAGCCGATTCCAGCCCGGCTGAGCCTGGAAACTTCGCCACAAATTGTGTCAATATTTGTCTCGTGCTGGATGCTGCTGCTGCAACAAATCGTGCCGCAAAGGTCTCCCCCGGTGTCAACTGAGCCACCAAAGAAAACCAAAACAAAAACTATCAAAAAAAAAGGAACAGCAGGGGAAAAAAACATGACAGTCCATAGAAATTATTGAACATGGACAATGCACAGTGGGAGAGATTCAATTAAATGTGTGACTCCATTGTTATTGATACAAAAAAAGACTCATTTCCCTTTGTGAGATATTTTTTTGGCCCCAAAATATTAGGAAATGCTTTACCCAATAGCGATTCCTGTTTATGGAATTTTGTAACCTAAACTAAGCACTGCATTGATTCTTAACTAGATATTTAATTCCAATGTTTGATGATAAAAATTCACTGCTCTTCAAAATACTACTTCATTTTAGGTCTTTTTTTAAAAGTTCTCATTTCTCATCACGGGACAAACAAACAGAAGGTAACGTTATGTGTGACTTGAATTTGATTGTATTGTTTTTGGAAATGTCTGCATTTAATTTAATGAACAAAATAAAAGCGATCGACTGCTTTAATGACTCACGTAATACCTCAACTATGAAATCGCAACCACTGTGCAACCACAACTTGAACTCAATGTGCGGCTTTAAGTTATCTAATGCCCGAAAATTGGGTGCGATGCCATACAGTGAATGCAAAAAGTATGCGCTCGGTGCGCTAATGAACCGCCCGGCGTTCATCTATCAATGTCAGGCCGTAAGCCAGGCCAAGAATGGACCTTTTGTCCCGCTGGCCGGATAAATTTCGATTTTCAATTTGATTGGCTTTTACCAGCACAATCAGAACAAAGAACCGACCAGCTGAGTGGGGTGGGGTGGTTTTTTTTTTGAGTTTATTTTGGGAATCTCGGGGAGATCGGGGCGATCGGGGAGTGGTGCTGCCCACACGCCAAAGGAGCAAAACATAAATCGTTATTTGGTTGACACATTTTTGTGGCCGCTCAGGTGGCGGCTCAATTGGCGTTTAGTTTTGGCGATTGGCAATTGGAGTCGGCCGGGTTTAGTGGGTCGAAAGCGAAAGTCGAGCTCGCAGCTCAGCGAGCAGTGTATTTCATAATCCAATTAAGCATTAGGCGACAGCTGATTGACGGCCAGGCCGCGAAGGAAGCGGCTCATTAGCCAAGATCAGCGAAGCTCACTGGCTACCGTGCCACGCACTCCATTCAGAGCTAATTAGATTCGATAAGGTCAAGAACAATGGAGCAGGGAGTGGTCCAGTCGAAGCCCACGGATGCTGCAAAGCTGGCTAAATTTGTTTTGACTTGATGGAGGCGATCTTGTGCTGTGATTTTCTCAGTGACCCTCAGACTTAATTCAAGTCGAAGTTCTCTAATTTGACCTACTAATGGGGTCTAACAACTAGGAAATTAAATTAACAAATATTTTATGTAGGCTTTGTGGTTGGGATATTAGGGATATGATTGTTCTAAGTTTCTAATTTTTAAGTTTTTAAATTTAAGTTTTATTGTTGGTAAATTAGTAATTTCTTTTATGGTAAATTCTTTTGTATTTTAAAGCGAAACATTTAACCTACTGATTTGGCAATAATTTGAAAACTTAGAACTGAAGTTATTTTCTATATACTTAACATATCACTTCCACAAGGTTTTGAAAGAAACGCTAAAATAAAAATATATACCTACATAAACAAAGCCTAATTTATAAGCAATCGAGCAATAAAAGGTAATTAACTAAGGATGCAATTTCGGTGGAGAGTTTTCAGTAAACATGAATTCAGGTTCAGAAGGAAGTTCTTTGAAATTCTTTAGCTATTTCATAAATCCCTACAAATTTAGTAAGTCTTGCAGTTAATCCAATGTTAAAACCTTTTAAATAAGTGCTAGAACTCACCGTTTCTGCTGGTTGCTCTCCAGGTTGCTGGCGATCACGTTGTCATGGGCGGCGGATCTGGCACGCGGCAACAAAGGCGGCGGTGGCGCCACGGGACTGGCCACGTTTTCGGGGATGGGCTGCGGCGTCGCGTGGTGCGGTCGCTTGCGACTCCCGCCTCCGCCTCCTCCTCCGTTGGCCAGGTGTTTGTGCTGCGAACAAATAGTGTGGCGGAAATTAGAATCCAATTACCAAACAGTAGTTGACGACCCACCTGCAAGCTCGTTGGCTTCTTGGGCACCAGCGGTGGCACCTTGGGAGCGATGGAGCCCGCTGGGGGCGGCGGTGCTGCGTAGGCGGTGCGACGTGTGGATGTGGCTGTGGATGGGCCAGCGAAGCTGTTCCGCCGGTTGGGCGAGGGCGGTGGGCGTGGCTGGAGCACTTCCGGCGGCGGTGGCGGCGGCAGTGGCTCATCGAACGTGTAACTGGTGTCAAGTTCGCTATGCGGCGGCGGCGGCAACTCCGGCGATGGCACCCGGAGATTGGGATGCTTGGGCGGACGCTCGGGCGGCGCATGGGGTGGTGGGGCGTGGCGGTGCTGCTGAGGGTGATGCTGCTGGTGGGCCAAGGCGGCGGCCTGCTGCAGCAGCAGCTTGTCCCGCATGGGAGCGTATTCCGTGGCCGAGGAAGTGCGTCTGGTCGGGACACCCAATCGACCCCTGGGCGGTGGCGGTGGTGGCGGCATTCCGCAGTCATTGAAGGACATCTTCTCGGCATTGCTTATGTTCCTTATGCTGGGCGCCTTCACCTGCCCCTGAGCCTGATGCAGTTCCCGGAAGTCGGCATAGTCCGAGGCCGAACTGGAGCGCCTCAGGAGATTGGGCAGCAGGCTACGCGAGCGGGGCGGCGGTGGCGGCGGAGTGGGTGAGCTGCAGTCCCGCGTCGACGAGGAGCTGCTGCCCGTGGGCAGACCCACCATTATGGGACTGAGGTTGTTCGGCAGAGACTTGCGCTCCACATGCAACGCCTGATACGATTGCGAGTGCGGACGCAGCAGCTGTTGCTCCTCCTTTTGCTGCTGCTGCTGCCGCTCCACGTAGGACTGCACCGCGTTCTTCTGCAGGGCCTTCAAGGCCGGATTCGAGATGATGTGCATCTTGCTGGGCTCCAAGTACGCGAACTTGGGCGGCTCGCCCAACTGGCTTCGCTCAAAGTCGTTGATCCTCTCGGCCACCGAGTGCCAGGTGGGCTGCACAGTGGCCCCCGCTGGCGTTATCACAGGAAGTCTAGAGGGTAATCCCCAATATATATTAGTTAACTGATTAGGGTCTATATATCTGAAATACTCACTTGGCGGACTTGTGCAGCCCGGAGCTGAACTGCGGCTTGGGATGCTGCACGTACTGCGAGGTGTTGCTGTGCACCGGCTCCGTGTAGGTGCTCACCGGGAACAGGCGGTGGTTGCTGCGGTAGGAATCGATGCTGTTCGTGGGACTCTGCTCCCCCATGTTGGGTGTACTGCAGCTGCGTGCCTCTGACTTTCCGAGGGACAACTGCAGCTTGCTGGGCTTTCCAGCCGGCGGTTGGGGTGCAATGGTGACCACCGCCTCGCTGCTGGAAATGGTCACCGAAATGCTGGACTTGTGCTGCTGGCCAGCGGATCTGCCCAGATGCTGATGCTGCTGCTGCTGCTGGAGATCGCCCATGGAGTGGGACTGGCCGAGGAGGGAGCGAGGAGGCTTCTCCGTGGGCGAGGCCAACTCCAGCAAGGAACTTTGTGTGTTGGTGTGGTGGCGTTGGAGCTGGTGATCCTGCTGCAGCTGGTGGTGCTCGAAGTGGTGCAGCGCCATTGAGGTGTGCACGGGCGGATAGCTGGGACTGTGGCGGTGCTGGATGCGGAGTGGTTGCACCACCACTGGTGGCTCGCCACTGCCCTCCTCGGAGATCGTCTCGGAGGAGTTGCTGCCAGTGGGCGAGGTCGCCGGGACCGAGTCGTTGTCGTGCAGGTACAGCACGCTCTCGCTATGATGGCGCTTGGGGGTCAGCACCCGGGAGCTGTGCACAATCAGCTGCGAGGAGGAAACTGCAACGAAGGGAGAACGGTTAGGGCGTGTCCTCGGCCATTCTAAAAGGAGTTGTGCCAAGTAAAAGTGGGCCAGCAGTGAGCCAAGGTCGTGGGGGAGTGGGTTCGCCCGCCAGTCGCCCAATACTTTGGGCTACCTTCTCTTATTACAACTGGCCAAGCATTCACCCCCCGAAAACTGAGACTGCCACTGTGACCCCACTCGAATTATGGCCACGATTGTCAGTGCTTGAATCCAAATTCCTTAACTTTCAGGTTTTTATACATGTTTATTAACTATCTTTATGAAAATATCAAACTTTAGAGATTGCCAAAAATCAATGTATTGTTAAAATCCACGTAAAATCAGACCTCTATATTTTCTAACGATTCTCACAAGTCGTAAAAAACTATTTTAAAATAAATATAAAGTCTACGAATTATATTCCCTTTTCTTTTTTTTACTTTCAGAAACCGAAGAATTTGACATCATCTTATAATTTACAAAAGCTCTATGAATTTACGAAAATTCGCTTTGTTTTAATACATTTGTTTCTTTGAGAAATGGATAAAATTTACATAATTTTTAAGATACAAGAACTTAAAAAGCTTTCTGAATTTACAAAAATGGCAGATCACAATGGTTTTTTTTATTTCAGAGACTTTTAAATTCTATTTAAAGTTTTAATGACAATCCCGAACTTATCTATTTACTGGATGACTTACCTGATTCGGCGATGGCGCTATAGCCGGTGGCATGACTTGCTTCGGAAATATCGCTCATGGAGCCCAGCCATTTGAGGGTTTCCGTGGAGGAAGTGCTCTCCGAGCTGTTGTTGTTGTTGCTGCTGCTGCCGTTGCTGATGGTGATGCTATTGTTGTTGCTCGAACTGGATGAGGAGGCGGAGGAGTTGGCATGGGAGTGGGCGTGGCCGTGGGAGTGGGAGTTGGAATGGGAATGGGAGTGCGAATGGGAATGGGAATGGGGGTGGGACTGGCGGGCCAAGAGCGGAATGGGCGATGGCGCCACCGAGTTGCTACAAACGGAGGAGAGGTCGTTCTCCGACCAATGATGCGACTGCCGCGACAGAAGATCGCTCTCCTGACGTAATCTGCAAATAGAACAACACAGCCAGTTGGAATTGGAATAAGTTGAAGTTGGCGTTCAACATTAAAAGTACCTCGAACTGAGCTTTTTGGCAAATCATTGCGTGCTACAGAAATTTGCGATTTCTGGTTTCTGCTTTTCGCATGGCCGCAATTACTTGAATTTCTTGCTTAGCCTTCGCATCGGGCAATAGAGCCAGAAGCGGACTCTCTTCGCCACTTGGGGCAAGTTCAGATAGTTGGATAGTCCGACAGTCGGACAATCAGACACTCAGACAGACAGACAGTCATTCAGACAGAAAATAGAGCTAAAACCGGAGACGGAGACTGAGTTATGAAGACCTTGAGAGTCAAGCTTAAGCTGCTCGTTTTCGGTTTTATTTCTTTGCTCCGTCTGCGCACTGAATCTCATGTGTTTGCGTTACCAAGAATTTTTTATGGCGTTTTTTAGTGTACAAATAAAATTCATAATTGTCGTTCGGCATTTGATGCGAGTATGTGCGCGGAAAACGTGTTTGCAATGCAGCCACACGGAGAGAAAATTACACAGCAAATGTATTATCAAAGAAGTCAACAGATCGTAAAGTTTGTTGACTACAATGTAAACTACTCTTTTAGCTATCAAAATAATACTTTCAATTTGTTGCTATGCAAATTCAGAAAATACATATTCTGTTTATAGACACAAAAACATAAATGTGTCATCAAAGAAGTCAACAGATCGTTAAGTTTGTTGACTAAAATGCAAACTTTTCTTTTACCTATCAAAATAATACTTTCAATTTGTTGCGATACAAATACATATTCTGTTTATGGACACAAAAACATATATTTGCCTTCTAAAGATCCAAGTTTCTTAAAAACGTTAAATGATCCATGTAAAGTTAATTGTTTCTAATAAAAAAGGTTTTCAAGTGCAATGATTTCCCTTATTTCTTTCTCTGTACACCAGATATTTTCCCCCTTTTTTTCCACGACAACTTACTTATCCAGAAATGGCGTGGCCGATGTGGAATCCGAACTTGACACATAGCTGTGGTAGCCCTCGGATTGGGCATAGGAGGCCTGCTTCTGGTGGTGGAAGGCCGTCTGGTCGTAGTACGAGGAGGATCTGTTGTTGTACTCCTCCAATCCGGCCTGGGTGAGTCCGCACTGGTCAATCGACTGGTGGTGCTGGCTCAGTTGACTCAATTGGCTGCTGTTGTGGTGCGGCATATCATCCTGCAAGAGATTTGGACAAGAGAAATCGCTGTTGCATAAGTTCGAAGCATTTAAATGGTTTAATCATTAGTTATGTGACCGCCGCTGACCGGATAGCTCACATTTGCAAATGATCCGCAACCATAATTACGGTCAAAGCTTAAGCCAAACCAAAAAAAAAAAACAACAATAGACAATAGTCCCTCGGTCGATCATTAGATAATTAAGTGAAAATTATTGCAGTGCAGGCAATGCAATTGCCGACGAAAAAACATATTTGAAGTGCAGCGGCAATAGCCAAACTTGCGATGTTGCCAAAGCATATATATTATGTACATAACCAGCAGGCAAATCGTGGGAGGGAGTCGAGGGGGGTAGAGGTGCAGGGGGGTATGGGGGCACCGACGGATGCAGACACAACCGCCAAGCGGAGCGTCCATAATAAGCCGGATTAAGTAATGGTGTGCACAAGGCGAGCGGATTGGAGCCACATGAGCAGGGCTCCAAGCCTTCCAGCAGTGATTCATGCTGCGATACGGTGACCAAGTTCACTGGATTCGGTGAAAATTTGGTAACGTAAAAATACGAGATCGATAACATGATCATTTCATGGATTGCGTTTTGGGTAAACAGCACTTAAGTTGGGTGAATTCATGGGTATTCATGGGTGAATTCATGGGTATCTAATATTTCCAGCAAACAGTGACCACAGTCGTTGAACTCAAAGTCATTAAATATTGTCCAAGCCTAGAGCATGAAATAAACAGGAAGTAGTCCACTAAGTAATCTTTCAGAATCATTGCTTATTCATTCACAAACAAAATGAGTAACACGTTATCTTTAATTACTATTTGTTTCTATAATGTATGCTTTTCTTTTCACTTTTACTATCAGCTGGATTTTATTGATTTATTGATTCATACGTTTTTGCTAATATGAAGTTAATATTGTAATCATCGTTTAATCATTGTATAGATTAATTGCATAGATAACAACATTTTAATTCAAGAATTTTTTATCATAAATAATAGATCATTTAATATTCTATTGGCTTTATTATAGTTTGAAAATGTGAAAGTAAACATAAAACCAACATTTGAGTACTAAAAATTTGTCTAAATCTAGACTAATTTGTCTGTTTGCCAATTTATCTTTATATTTAAAAGCCCATACTTTTACTTTTATGACCGTTTCAAAGCTTGCAATCAGCTCATAATAAATCAATTGAATAGGTATTTTTCAATAAATCAAGTCACAGTCACCATTTTCCCTGTTAAACATTTATTACCACTGTGATCACAGTTTATGAGACTCCCACTCAGCCACATTTACCCCCGAAATTCGCCACCACTCATCAACTCATCAAGTCAATTTGCTTGCCAGCCCTCGTGTCGTATACTTAATTTTTGGATGTTTGCGCCTGCGACTCTCGTAAACCAAATCGAATTGTAAATACTCGAGCATAAAGCCGAAACACATGGAGAAACAGCGACAGGGGAAAAATATAAGTCGACTCAAAATAAAACTAACGCTCAAAATAACGAAAACGAAACGTTACAAGACCAAGCCTTAAGCCACTTGACTGACTTGGCTTGAAGTCTCGATTGCATTGAGATTGGGGATTGTAGAGGTTTTTTTTTAACGATATATATATATATATATTTATATGTGCTTTTGTTGGTAGCTACGTGGGCAGCAGCTGCTGATTGTCTTTTTGACTTTGGCGCCACAAAAGCAGCTGAAATAAATCAGAAAATCATAAATGCTTAATGGCAAATACATATAATAACAATAATAATAATGAATCACATGACTGACAGTTGCCGATATGCAATAGAATCGTTTTCTGGGTCAACTACTTAGGTCTCCCTCTCTGGTTTTTTTTTGGTTTTGGATTTTGCCTAGGGCGCATCGCCAAGAATTTTAATGGTTCCGAGCCACTCTCCGAATGTTCCCAAGACTCCAAGACTCCGGCTCAAAGTGGAGTCATTCATTCACTCACTCACCCAGTCAGCCAGTCAGTCATTCAGTCAGTCGATCGTCGTGCAGTTTCATTTCAGTTCGCCTGAGTTTTTTCGGGTTTTTTCTGCCCAATTGCCGTAATTATTTTGTCTCTCTAACACGAATTTAAATCAGCAACTGTCCCACGGGGCCCTTTACTTTGCCTTCGCTGCCTTTTGGCCCATTTTATTCCTAGAGAAACCTTTCTGGCCCAAAACCCATAATTATCGGCCACAGCTGTGTGCCCATGTGAAATTGCTCTGGATGAGCAGCTCCGGCAGCACCATAAATCAATGGCCAGGGCCAAAATCCGGGATGGAGTTGGAGTTGCAGATAGAGATGGAGATGGAGATGAAGACCAAGTGGGATCTGAAGCGGAGATCTTAACTGGTGCAGTGGGTCACAGCTGGATCCGCTGGAGTGGGATTCTTAATGATCCCGTGCCACGGGCGAAATCAAACTTCCGTCCGAATGCGCGGCGCGTGTTAAATAAATCACTTGATGAATTGTGCTAAGTGCCCGACATGCTGCCTGCAGGAAAAGCAAAACAAATTGCCTGGGAAACTGCTGGGGAAAGGTGACCGCGAGCACCTGGGCGTATGCGTAATATTTGTAAAACCATTAAAATTATATCAATAGAGCGGAAGCCCGCCAGCGAAGCTTTGGGTAAACCTAGCGGGTTAATAGTCACATTACTCAAGAAAAATGCCACAAACGTTTGATTGTTTGGACAACTCGGTTTCCGTTTAGTTTAATTGTTTTTCCCATTCCTCAAAAAGAGATTATAGTACAGGGGGACACTCTTTTAAAAAATATACGAAATTTATCTTTCTTTTAGTTAATGATAATAGTTTTATGGGATTTCAACTAGGTCTTAAAATTATTGACAATATGATAAATGGCTTGCGCTTTCCAAATATGAAATATATAATATATTATTTTTTCTTTGAGATATGTAGACCAAATCGGGTTTAATAATTTGTTTATTTTATTAAGTTTTTCTGTAACTATACCATGCATAAAAAGTAAAGTAAAGTTTGAGTAATCAAATATTAGATATCTAAACAATATTATCTATACAATGGTTTTTGTATAACCACAATTTATTGAAAGAATCATTGTTAATTATGTAAATATCTTTATGCAAATTTAATTAATAAAAGCTACACTGTATTGCATTAGTCAGACCGCTTTGGCTTGGATCCAGTAGACTTTGTTTGGAAGTAACGCTGGCTATCACCGAAACGCTTGACTCATGCCTCGCAAGAAGGTCAGTTAGTCAGACTGTCAGACGCTCTGCGTCGCGTGATAAGAGACAGCAACAAGGGGGCCAGAGTGGGAGAGAGAGACGGCAAAAGCGCCAGAAAAAGAGACAGCGACAGATTGACAGCCGCCCACATGTCTCGCAAAAGATGCGGAATTCGCAGCGAGAATGCAGACAACTGGAGATTTTCGTGTCTCCGATCAGCTTGGCTTTTATTTTGGCCACAATGATTTCGTGAGGAAAATTTGTAAATTTTTCTGCCACAGCTATTTTGATTTGCGTTTTCCATTGTCGCTGGCTTTTAATGGCCAACACGAATTTGACTCTTTCCAGCGGAGAGTCGGCCAAAGAAAAGAAATTGCAATCAAAATGCGAGCAAACGTGTCAGTTGCCAACGTGGCCAAGCTTCAGCTTCAGCTTCAGTTTCGTATTCGGATTCAGATTCAGCATCAGCATCAGCTTTAGCTTCAAATTCAGACTTAGCTTCAACCTCTCGGCTTCAGTTTCAACTTCAACTTCAGCTTGGATCGTGCTGCGATTTGGATTTGAATTTGGCAATTGGCGAGAGCACGAACGAGTCGGGGAAGCCCGCGGGCCTCGAGCATTAGAATTGAATTGCAAAGAGCCCGAAATCCCGAGTCCTGCCTGCTGAACTCCCCCCAACTCGGCTTGCGTGCTATATTGGCCATTTATCGTCAAATTAAACGCATATCGCTGTCAATCTGCGCCCAAATTGGACACAGTCACAAAACGGCAGTGCGAGCCAGGCCAAAAGTGGTCGCACATTGGGTTGAATAATGGCAAATGCAAAAAAACCCAAAACAAAGGATTGCTGATTAAAGATAACCTAATGTATTTCATATAAAAAAGTGCTACAGGCGAGTATAAGTTAAATAGTTAATGATAACTCTTTAAGACTCGAGATACTTAGAAGCAATTTGTATCCTTTGTATAAGATTAACTTTATTAAATCAAGATTAGAATACCTTTAGTTGAATATTAGGATTTGTTAGGTAATAACCCAAGCAAACAAAAATTAATATAAAATGCATGGCCTAAACAAATTTAAATATAGTGGTCTACATTCTTCTTCCCAAAACGACTCCTTTGGAACCACTGTACAATGGCCGACAGCATGAATACTTATTTCGCTCGTTTCCACCGCCGCAGATTGCGTAGCTCTTGGCTTTATAAAATCAAAGTGGCAGCGAGCTCGGGAGGTCCCGACGAGACTCACACTTTCGGGGAAAGTTGGGGAAAAGCGGGGAAAGGCGAGGACGGCGATGACGCCTGGCACTTCGATTTCGACTCCTTTCGCCAGCTGTCAAGTGATCGGACGTCTGGCCAACTGGACAACTGGAGAACTGGCCAACTGGCGGTGAATCCCTTTAAGTGGGCCACCGATGAAAGTGAATCTGCGGTTCATTAGTAATAATTTTTGGCAGCTAGCGGTGGGTGAGTCTCATTAGTGGGAATGAGTTTATGCAATGCAGTGAAATGGATTTACTGGGGATCAGGATCCGAGGCATCCTTGACCTCAATGGCCGCTTGTTGTGGCGTTAATATTATTGGCGAAACTGGCCAAACGGCCGAGAACTGGTAATGGTCATGGCATGGCAACTGGTCAGATCCGCTGGCATCCACTCGTCTGGTCCACTGGCATCCACTGGTATCGTTTCGTATCGTATCCACTGGTCTGGTATGCCGACTTGGCCCGGCTTGGCATGCGGCTAGATTTATGGCCAGTGATAAGTTT